AGCAATGTTCTTGCGACGTCTGATTTCTTTTTAAAAAATGCGTTTCTAAAGTACATAAACTTTTGGGATTGACTGTATAGCCAATACATCCTTAAACACAATCTCTACGATTATCAAAAACAAGTAATAGCGCCGACGAGGAAAAATGCCAAAGAATCATCAGAGAATTATTTTACTATCGTAACGCGTTCTAATTAGAATGTGACTAGCAAACGCACTTGTGGCTACGTATCTCTCGCACCCTACCGAAGCTAGTTTTAACGATACAATGTAACAGTGAAACGCTTTTCTCGAGTCGACAGACTAGACGATTATGCTTTTCGTTCACTTGGAACCGTCGGGTTACCGCCGCCGACGCCGATCCAAACGAAAGGAACCGATTTTTCTCGCGCTTCATGCAACACGGAAGCGAGACAAAGTCTGTTCCTTTCACACGAGATTAAAAAAAAAGAAAAACATGTCTGTGAGCATTAAAAATGTTGTTCTTTTTTCTTTAAACGCGCCGTTTACACGCGCGCGCGCGCGCGTGGTGCTACATTATATATATATATATTTGCTTTTTATATAAATTTTATCATGTTGCCCGAAGAGAGTATTTAATAGTTTAGTACACGCACATGTTATGAATGTCTATTTACTAATGCAGAGTTCTGAAAGTAATAATATATCAGAGTTTATATTTATATACGAATCTTGTTCTTTACGTATCGTCAAGACGTGAAGATTGAGATGATCGCTTCGAAAGTATTCATCTACATATTTCATCATTAGAAATCGGACGAAATTTGTGATTCATTTAAAGCAGAATGAAAGAAGGTGTATTTAAATACCGATTAGGTTTTTTATGCTGTCCAATGTATACTGCCATTCTTCGAATCCCAGACGCGATCGCTCGTCACAGTGTCTGGCTTCTCCAAGTTTATTGTTCTCTTAGAGAAAGGTGTCGAAATCAAAAGCAACAGTCTTTCTAGAGGATAAGCGCAAAATAATTTCGAATAATCGGACAGTATAAAAGATTCTATTCATCGTAACAAAAATCGTACTATCGTCTCTTCATTACCAAGTACCTGGCCATGGTTTTCCATGCGACAGCTATTTTTCCTTGGGAGTAATAACGCATGGAATTGAAAGTTGGAAAAAAATTCATTGTAAACTTGAGGAAAATTTCGTTCGTAAAATAAAAAAAAGTGCCTTTGACATTAATCTCTAAAGCCCCATTTTGTCGTTCTTACTTGAACCCGAGTTGTACAAGAATGTGAAACAATGTCATACACTGATTTTATTATAAAATTCAATATTAATATTATACACACACATTCTCATATTTCAATCACATTGAGTTGGAAACGAAATACATAAATTCATCTTATAAATAAAGGTATGCACAAGGGAGAAACAGGGGAGATGAATCGATTACAGCTACGCGATGGAAACTTATGAACCCCTGAAAGATACAAAAGATGTAAAGTACAACCGTCTAAAAGAGTGTTGAGGATGCATTGAAAAAAGTCGAGTGTGCTACTCACACGATGATGTTGTTGATCGGAATATGGATCAGTTTGACGAAGAATCCTATGAAGCCCATTATGCAAAAACCAATGGCCGTGGCAATGGCAATTTTCTGGAATTCTTTTCTGTCAGGCTTTGTGCATCGCTTGATGAGGCGGATACTGTCTTTCGCGAACTGACGTCCGGGTTCCGTGAGCTTCTTGACTTGATCCATATCGTGCGAGACTGAAAACCACGGAAATTGATATTTCGCAAGTACCCTCTCATTCCTATTATAAATAGAACCAGTGAAACTGCGCCGTGTGCAGAATTGCATATGCTTTTTCGAGTTGTAGTACACTCTAGAAATTGTTCGAACCAGACAAAAGTTGAAACGTACCTAGTTAATAGCTCCCGTTAATAGCAGAGAGAATGACTCGAAGATTGCAACAAACGTCGACCAGATTACTGATTCCTTTTAGTGTTCCTCGACAATATATCCAAGAACGATTCAGGTTGTTGACACGGTACTCACGTCGCGTATAACTGGAGACTGCTGAACGTTATGTGTTTTGTTTGACGTACAAAAAACTGCGCTCGTCACAAGCCAAGGCGCTACGTGGACAGTAGTGGACACTGTTGTGCTACGATAACGTCACTTCCCCCGCCCGTTGGTCTTTGACGTTAGAACTGTTCTCTACTTCCGGCGGTGTCCGAAAAGTGCCATCTTGTAGCATCTCAAGTGCCCATGCCAATTTCCGGTCAGGGATGCAAACCATATCCTATGGAAATGCCCTATGCATGTGAATGGAACAGAGAAAATGATAACAAGCTGTGCTGTAACGATTGAACATTAAACTACCACCAATCTCGTAGTAGAGAATGTGCAAAACTCGTAAAGATATATAAACACATTTATCAAAGTGACGAAAGTTTTGGTTTTAAAAACATCGAAATGCATAACGCTTACGAGGAATCGTCGATATTGAACATCACTGTCCAAATAGAATCGATGGCTGCATATGGCAAGTGACAACCTACAAACCGATTGTTTTCGCCACAAACTCTCCTGCTTTATGCGTGAATTCATCATGTTTCCCTTCTGTTGGACAAATGTTCAATTTGAAGCAGTCTAGCCTGTTCAAATATAATAAATAACAATAGGTTCACATTGTTTCAGATGACAATTTACTGATTGGGACGAGGGAGGGTCATCTCCTCATGTACAACGTACCCTCTGTGCCAGACGAACATCACAAATTGGAGTTACTAAGGCATAGTAAAAATTTTAACAAGAAGCGTATCACTCAGATAGAAGTAGTGCCAGAATATAATTTATTGATCATTTTAACAGGTACTTTGCCATCTCCCATAGAATGATAAAAAAATTCTCAACTTTGTAGTACACATTTTCTTTTATAGATAATATAGTATGCGTTCACGATTTAAACTCTCCGAATTTTCAACAAGTTTGCCAGCTGCAAAAGACTCGTGGTGCTATATTATTCGCTTTAGACGTACAGTCGACCCAGAGTCTGACTGGTGAAAAGAATACGGTCGTACGGTTGTGCGTTGCCGTGAAACGTAAACTGCAATTGTATTATTGGAAAGGTAAAAAATTTGTCGAGTTCAAAGATTTCGAATTGACTATACCAGACATACCACGTGAATTATGCTGGTACGTAGTACAGTTCAATCGGTAATAGTAATAATAATAATAATAATAAT